GGCTCGAGCGTATGCGCATGCGTGCTGTGCATGCATGTGCGTGTGTGTGAGCGAGAACTGAACCTAGGCAAGCCTTCTACCACAGCTTCGTCCTCAGCCAGGATTATAGCTGAATTTTAGACTCAGTTGAGTAACAATGAAGATTAGTTTTTTAGCATACATTTGTCTGAGTCGTGTTGTTATTAAAAACTATTATCCTAGTGTCTGACATACATTTTTGAACAATGCCAAATGAGTAATATATAAAAAGCACTTAGGATTGTGCTTGACACATGATAGCTACTCAGTAAATGGGTATTTTTTATTCCTTTTATACATAGTTAGCTGTTTTGAAGATGAGAAAGCTTCAGAAGAAAAGTACATGAAGTAAATGTAGCCCATTTGCTGATTCAGATGTTAGCCAGTATGACTGACAACAAATAAGGTCTCTTACTAAACACTGCCATTGAAACAACATTTTCGTGTGTGGCTCGTAAAAAATATAGCATATAGGCAGGGGAGATAGCTCAGCGGCGTAAGTACCTGCCTGGCAAGTACAAGGTTCTGAGTTCAATCCCTGGTACCAAAAACCAAAAACCTCAGCATATGATAACCTGAACAGGAAGTTCTAGGGAAGCTGCCTGGCGCAGATAGCAGCCCGGGGCTGCCCTCTGCCGGGCGGGCGCTGGGCCAGGGCCGTGTGAAGTGGTGCGTGGCTGAAGGCACCGGCTCCTTAAAAACCAACCAGACTCAACCCCTGGTGCTGTTCTTGCTTCCCAGAACATGAAAAGCACTTCTGAAGCTGTATGTTGAATATATCATACCACGTGTTGTGTTTTTGTTAGTGCTGGCTGTCGCTCCTGGGGATCAGACTCCAGGCCTCACACACACCGTGGCCCACATGCGCTACAGACCCCAGGTTTAAAGCACGTGTGAGAGGAGAAATTTGGTTATTATCAAGTGGGCAGACATTGTAAGATGAGATAGCTACATCCGTGACCGAAGTAAAGCGAGGCTTGGCAGCTTTCAGCCTGGGGCGGCGGTGGGCGGGCCTCGTCTCTGCCAGCTGCTGTTGCTTTGCTTTAGCTGTCCGTGCTCCTGCTCACTAACAGGTACCTTCCCTGAGGCCAGCGGTGTGCTGGGAGGCACCTCGTCCTTAAACCAGTCTAAGGCACTCAGGGCACCCGCTAGCCAGGGAAGAGATGCGTCATGAAGAGAACTGGGAGGGAGGAATTGCTCCAGCAGGTGAAAGTAATGCCCGCAATAGAAATGCTTCACTTACTCATTTTTCAAGTTCCAAAATGCATTTTGATACCTGACTTAATAATTAAAACTAGCAGTAAAATTTTAGCAGAGAATTTTTTTAGTGAACACCTTTCGTTGACATAAAGCACACAGATATTAAATGAACAGCTGAATAGATTTTTGCAAAGTGGGCACACTTGTGTAACCGCAGCATGCACCTACTCAGCCACCAGGAGCACCTACCTGCTCAGTGCTGTAACTGTTGTGACTCCTCATACCGGCTGGTGGAGTTGCAACAGCGTTCTTGGCGGGCGGGGGCGGGGGGGTGATTCCAATATACAGATTGTCCCGATTAATTTATACTTTATGAATATTGATAATCGGTTTAAAGGATTTTTAGCTTTTGAGCCATTGTAAATATTGTCATTGTGAATATTACTTGTTTTTGTGCATAGAGATTTTTCTAGAGATATAAATCTACTTCTCTAGGTCATTTTGTATGTGCTCATCTTTTTTTTTTTTTTTTCTTTTCTGTATTGTAGGGAAGGGTCTACAGGGTGATCAGGGTCTCACTACTAGATCATAATGATCCCCATGTTTACAGCCTCCTAAGAGCTGGGATTACAGGCATGTGCCACCACACCCAGTCTCTGTTGCCATCCCAG